TCAGGGCTAGACTGAACTGTTAGGCTCAGCCCAGAGTAAGAAGTGGGGAGGTATCTGCACCGCCCCAGGAGGAGACCTGGGAAGGAAATGTGCCTTGGAGGCACAGTCCCTCCCCTCTTCCCTTGCTTGCGGAGGAAGGAAGTTACTGCCCCCCTGTGCTCCCACCTAATTACTCTGGCCAGTGAGTGCAGGGAGCAGGGTGGAACCAGGGGTCCTCTAAATCATTCTCCTCTCTGTCTCATCCCTGCTAACTTAGTGCCAAGGGGCATTATTTGGCATGCACCCTCATGGCCAGAACTGCAGTCTGAGCAGTCTTTACTCAGCCAAGTAGAGAGCATAGAAGGCAGGGAGACTACTTCCATGTGAAGGAAAGCAAGGGCTAGCCCTTGGCGAGCAAGAGACCATGAGCCTTGTGTATCGGTGCGGTCTATTCCCAGCTCTGCCATTGACTTGCAGTATGACCATTGGCAAGTTTCTGAAGGTGGCTGGGCCTCAGTTTACCCATCTGTAAAATGGATACAATCGTTACTCCCATCAGAATGACACTGCGAGGCACAAGTTTACTGATCTAGTTTTTATTTCATGCTTATCACCAGTGCCAACCCCTTCAGAGCCTTCCATGAAAAATAGGAAGTGTTACTGAGCCATGATACATGAACGTTATTTATATCTGTTGCTGTTGTCGATCCTAGGCTGTTGGACAGAAATTAACTTTTGTCTGAAAAAAAATCTTCCCAACAAGTAGATTATTGAATAACACATGACAGCCACTCATCTGATTAGCCCATTGAGAGAGATCATAAGACACTATTATAAAACATGTCCGTAATAATAGTTCAACATGACCTTATGTTTTCCAGCAGTATGTCCAAGTCTTCTTTCATCAATGCAGAGCAGTGTTTGTTTAAGGTATACGAAACCAAGACTAATTTAGAAAAGATGGAAGTTCACTCTTGGCTTCTGTATCATGTGAATGAAGATCTCCTTGTTAGCCTGAATGTTAACCTAGAAAACAAAAGCTAAATATCACAGATCTGTGGTACTGCCTGCGTAATACACATTCTCAGAATTCCATGTGCTAGTGCTGGGTGTGCTTGCTCAATGTGACTTCCAAGAACTGGAAGATAGCATGGAAAGGCAATGGGGCCTAAGGATGAGAGTACGCGTTCCAGGAGCCAGGACTCCTGGGTTCTATTTCCAACTCTGTGGTTCAGGTTCAGGGTATGTCTCCTCTGCAGCCGGTGGTGTCATTTCTAGCCCAGGTAAAAGTAACCACTCAACCTTTGATTGCTCTAGTGTGCTAAAAATAGCAGTGCAGTTGCAGAAGCACAGGCAGTGGCTTGGGGTAGGCACCGAAGTACAATCCTGTCCAAGGTATTTGGTGCGTACTTGGGTGGCGAGGCTGAGCTGCTGCTCGTACCGCCATGGCTATCCTGCTATTTTTAAGTATCAGAGGGGTAGCCGTGTTAGTCTGAATCTGTAAAAAAGCAACAGAGGGTCCTGTGGCACCTTTAAGACTAACAGAAGTATTGGGAGCATAAGCTTTCGTGGGTAAGAACCTCACTTCTGAATTCGCACTTGCATCTGAAGAAGTGAGGTTCTTACC